TACAAGATTCTTAATTCTTTTCATCTCAGACAAGTTTGGCACGGACTAGCACGAGCAGGGAAAAAAATCCACGGACAAGCACTTTCGATAGGACCACGGGCAAAAAAATCTTGCCCGTGCAGATCTCTAATCCCTATTGTTGCTTGTATTAAACATTTTTAGCGGAATTTCTCGACTATTCAATGATATGCAATATAAACAGGCGTATTTTTCACAATGTGGTTCAGAATATTTTTCCACCAAATAAAGCAAACAAGATAAAAAAGTATCAAGATAGTGTTCCTACGTAATAATAGCGACGATCTCTGGCTATCGACTGATATAAAAAATCTTAAAATACATTCATGCTAGTTAGTATTAATGAACATTCGGATACTATGAAATGCATAAAGAATGGCTTCTGATTCAAAGCAGCTAGCGAGCTACGATTTTCGTTTTTTGAAAGAGAAGACTAGGATAACAACTTGAGGAAATCTATATTAGGTGAAATAACCTGGTCCGTATCTGAAAGGAGAGAGTTCAAAAATCTCGTCTAGAAATATTTTGGTTTTCTTTCATGCGTTGATACCCTAAAGTGTTCAGCAGTTTTCATCAGAAACCAAAAAACTTTGTATCTCACTCAGAGCTGCTGTGGATCACTTAAAAACTTCAGAGCAGACGAGTTTCTATGCTGGATATGATTCTGCCACTTGCAAAACTTGTCTGAGATGAAAAGAATTAAGAATCTTGTAAGAACACAGACAAAAAAGTGAGCAAGTGTGTTTATATATATACGCAATACTGGTCGAATTTCTTGTTATATTACTTGCAAGGGCCTTCTGTCTTGTTATTTCAGCCAATAATCTTATTAAATATAATATATTTTTCTCTCCAGATTCGCGGCTAAAATTTCTGTCTTGTGATTGTCTTTCGACAAGAATTTCCGGAGATCGACAGAAAAGATTGATTTTATGGTCAACGAATCTTGCCATTTCAGACAAAAATCTTTCACGAAAAAAGATGAAAAATCAATAAAACATTAAGAGAAGAATATTGTCTAAAATGGCAAGAGACAAGAATCTTGCAAGAAATACGACAAGAAAGTCGACCTGTGAACAAAAGAGAAAAAGATGACAGCTCGACTGGAGAATATAAAAGAAGAAAGAGAACAAGAAATAGTTGATGTATGGTGACATATGAGGAGTAGAGACCTGCAACTCGATCCGACACTAGGGTCGGGTTTGGGTTAAGAAGTTGTCAAGTCGGGTTCGCGTTATGATGCCATCGGATTCGAGTTGAACATATTGCGGTTCTATTTAAAATATAGATAATAATTTTAATTTTGTATTAGTCTAAGTCTAAAATTTGTGGGGGCGGGTTCGAGTTACGTTTTCTTAACCCGTACAGGTCTCTAGGAGTCACATTCATTATTCACGCATCCTATTTGTTGAATGTCATAATGTGTCATAATTGTCACAATGTTAAATTAAAAAGAATGATTATTACTTTACACTATCCACTAGTAAAATATCGCTTTCGCCGGTAAAAATTGAACGAAGTATACGACTTGTCCACGTAGTGCGACACTTCGCTGATTAAGTTTTTAAAAATTTTTAGTATCCGAAAACCGATATGAACACATCACTAGATGCAGTTTACGAATTCTGACTATGAATCCGATCTCCTTAAGAAATAAAAATATAAATTTGAATGAAAAATTTTTTAAACAAATTTAAAATTTACACCATTCGATAGAAAATTAAATTCTCTACAAAATGGCTCATTTTCTTCGACAATTCGAGTTTAGGAACAAAACTTATGCCGTTTCGGTGTTTCAAGATTCCAGTCAAGTTTAAAAGCCTGAAGTTAATTTTTCAACTTTATTTTTAACATAAATCGATAGATATCACCAAGTCTATGGCAAATATAAAAATCAAGCTTTTTGAGAGACATTAAGTGCCTGAAAATTCACTGATAAATAATAATTACCATCTATTGTAACCTGACTTTCTTTTAAATATTCGAAATCTCGGACGGCTTTTATTTTGTAGAGAAATGTTAGGACTACAAAGTGATTTAGTCAGATTTTTGATTTCTGTTCTGATCTCTAAAACGATGAAAAAGATTATAAGCGAGGGAAAGGCTTTGGAAGAAAAATCGTTTTAACATTCGATAGTTCGTAAACTTCTCTACAACCTTCGCTATAGACAGTTTCCATTTGTCCAAGTTATTTCGTAACGTTTGGACAAACCATATAGCAAAAATACGAGGAAGTTTTGAGAATCTGAGCATAATTCTCCAACACACTGTACGGTACATATATGTAATACATGCACGTGCATCCATCCATTTCTGTTTTTTTTCTCTCGCTCATGTGACGATATAATAAAGTAGAAAAATTTTCTTTTTTCCTCATGAAAATAGAAGAGTGAGAATAAATAACACTATTGTGCATACTTTGAACTCTATTAAATCATACCATTGATTTATGTTGCATTTGAATGATATTCTTCACCTCCAATAATATTATTTGGCTGCTGTGAGTGTCTAACAATAAGTGATTTCAAAGAACGTCTTGCACATTTATTTCGATGACTAGATGTGGCATACTACTAATCACAACGTGATCTGCCTGAATGTTGATAAAGACCATGAGAAGATATATTAATGTTGCCAAAACTATGTCGGGTTATGAAGAACCGGAGAAAATTATTAATATGTCATTCAACGCATCATGAATTTTATAATTAAATGAATTTTCATTAATTTCTGCAAAAGTTATGCTACGCAATTCTTCCCACGACCTGATACTGACTTTAATCATGTGTTATTTTAGCAAAAAACGGAGATGATGATACAGATATGACTTTTCGATCCTAATCTAGTCGATAAATTATACTTGTTTTCAAAGTGTTGTTCGTTTTTCTCTATACTTACTTATAGCTCTACATTTTCACCTCCAACATGGTTAACAAAAAAGGTTTGGATTATTGCTGGAATTATATGCGGGGTATTGATTATTGCAGCTATTGTTATTCCTCTAGCTATCATATTCGGTAAAAGTACGTAGTCTTTCTTTAATTTAAAGTAGGTTAGGAATATTTTACGTGCTTTGGCTTTTCTAGCAACGAGCACTGCTGCAGTCACAACTACTACTGCAGCAGTGTACCTTGCTTATTGGGCATTTGAAAACAATGCCAATGACGTATACGGTAACTATTCCGGTGCAACTACGTGTGGTTCATGCTATTACACCACATCGGGACTTTACGGTGGCTCAATATTTTATATTTATAGTACAAACAGTTATATGTCCGTGGTTTCACCCTATTTTAATTTAAATTCAGTAAGTTTTACATTCGAAATATGGATTTATCCAACAAGTGTAACGAACGACCAACCTATATTTAGTCAATGTACATGTACAACTTGCACGAATCAATGTCTGTTTCTGATTATTCGAAGTAGTAAATTGTACATGGGATTTAATTTTAATGATTTAACCGGTTCAACAACGCTGGTTGCCAGTTCAGTATGGTATCATGTTGCCTTTGTCTACAATTATCAAACATCTCAACAAATCATTTACCTTGATGGTGTTCAAGATGCAATTCGTTCGACGTCAACATCTTATCTGGGAACAAATGGAACAATGTATTTTGGTTATTCACTACTTCTACCATCAAACTATTTTTCTGGTTACATTGATAATGCACAACTGACCACGCGCGCTAAATCAGCTGCAGAAATATTAGTAGATGCTACGCAAGTATTCTATTATTCATTCGATCAACCAAATCCATATTACGACAATGGTCCAAATCGTTTAAATGCTACAAGTATACAAAATGTGGCAAGTACATCTGGACATGTAGGACAAGCAGTTCGTTTCACAACTACTAGTTCGAGTTACATTCAAATCAATTACTGGCCTTCCTTGGGTTGGCCGAGTAGTAAACCATTTACATTCGCTATGTGGATATACGCAACATCTGTAAGTGGTGGTGGTCTCCTGTATACCCCACCTAATGGAATCAGTTTACTTGGCCTGACAAATAGCGGACAAATTGTGGCACAACTCCAGGAAGCGAGTCCTGTAAACATTTGGCAAGCAGTGATTGGAGGTTTTATACCAGTTAATACGTGGAAACATGTGGCATGTACATTCAGCGTAACAAACGGTCTAATATTGTACCTGAACGGTGTCTCACAAGGTTCTATAAACGGTATTCTAACGTATTATTGGACCAGCGGTCTTTACTACATTTACATTGGATATGCTGGCAGCCAAGCGTATATAGTAAATGGAGGTTCATTTCAAGGTACAATGGATGAATTCTACGCATACAGGCGCGAACTAAGCGCTACAGAAATATTAGCGTTAGCTAGTGTATAAGTTGTATGCAGGTAAAGCAAAAGTCTTAGCATTTTCTTTTAACTATTCATTCAGTTTATGCAATATAATAACTAACATTAGAAATCATTGAAATTCTGGAATTAAAAGACGTTAGAATCGTCAGTTTTCTGCGTTATCTAACGATTCCGAACGACGGCTCACCTCTTTATTTTATGTTATTTTAGAAACATGCGTAGCCTTTATTCCGTTATAGCTCTCGCCTTGTGCGACTACCAATAACCAGTGAATCCATTTGATTTGTTGCACAAGTACTGCCAATACATATAATTGTAGAAAACTTTAATTATTCTCGACCACTACGGAATATTGTTTAAAATTGTTAAAAAATAGTTAAATATCCCTAACGAGGCAAATTCTCTCTCTAATTTCCATAGTATAATGTTATGCTTTTATAGTTGGCTTAAATATTTTCAAGAACGCGTACAGAGATTAATTATTTAAAAGAAGGAGGAAAAATATTTAATTTTTAAAAATTTAGCATAAACATTTTCCAAAGTATAATGTTATGCTTTTACAATGTTCTGATCTGATCTTGGCTCAATGTTTTTAGGTGCAAAGTCTAGTTTTCGAGAAATAGAGGAAAAAATGGTTTTATGTGGGAATTAATGCCTTCTATTGCTTTCTCTCTTTTTTTTCGTTCGGAATACATGTTTTTCTTTCCACTTTTTCTTTTCGTATTTTATCCTAGTGAACGAACAGAAGGAGAAAAAGAATATCCATCTATAGCTGTATCGAGCACTGCTGTTATTCCATATAATTCTTCAAAATTGCACAGATGTAAAATATCAATTTTATTGAATCCGACAGAAAAAAGGAAGACTAATAATATGAAATGCTACAATTACTTGTATAAAAATCATTTTTATGCTCTTGTAGGGTACAAAAAGTAGATTGTTGACTCCTTTTCATAATAGGCAACGTCGTTACATCGGCAGCTTGAACTTTGTGACCAATTCTGAAAGAAACTGTTTGACAAAAAGAGCATCGTCACTCTCTCTTCGATATGCGTGAGTCGTCTTGCAAATTGGTTGTTCAATTGTTGGCTTTTAGCTCTTTTTATTTAATTTATTTAACACTTTCTTGTCAGAATGCATAGACAGAAAAACCGGATGACTTATCCGAAATGGTGTTGATTTTGACCATGATAGGTACACTTTTTTCAAAAAACTTTTTACTTGTGCAAGTTTTATTTCTTTTTCTCATGGTTCCATAGTCAATTTTGCACTGCGGGTTGGCGTCAAATGTTTTTTTTTGAAAACAGTACGCCTATCAGGGTTAAAATCACTGACTAGGGGTTAACATCACTGATTAGCAGTGAAATTATCGAGTTTTGATGTTTAATCGGTTCTGGATTCGTTAATTGTGCAAGTTTTATTTCTTTTTTTCATGGTTTCATACCCAACTTTGCATGGGACACTGGCTACAGCTCACCATTGTCTAGTTTTTCCAATAAATATCTAATCAAAATTTTCTATTGTGTGTCCTGTTGTTGTTTTAAGTTGGGTGAAATTTCTGTGGAAGATAGATGGATGTCGATGGATGTTTTCAGCACGAAATTGTTTGTGTGAATCTCAAAAACTAAAGAAATTTCTAGGATTCAAAATCAAGCGACCGAAACTCAATGAGTTATACGCCATTCGATGCAGTTTTTCACGCTGATTCCGAATATGACCTTACTTTCAAGAAAAAGTGCTTTTTGAGGAAGAAAACTTCAAAATACCATGAAAACCACTATGGGTTTTGGAAAATCCATAACTCGACGTAGAAGAAAAATGGCAAACAGTACGGATGTAGCATTGTCTAAGGAGCATTTTGCTGTATTTGAATATTATTTTCGAAGGTGGACAAAGGTGGGCACTCTACTATGCTGAAGCACTGTCACTGAAGACTGATGTATGGAGAAATCATGTCGCCGTTACTTCTTGAATATGGGTACGAAGTATAAACATTTTGTCATCGGAAGATAACTGAAGACATGCTGATTTCGAATATGTGCTTTCAAATCGTTTGACATAGCTGAGTGAGCAGAGAACCACGTTTTTGTGTATATGTGTCGTTTTTTGCTATGTACGCTATGTAG